AAACCTCCCACAGAGAAGGAAAGCACGCTTTGCTGGGTACAGATGCACATCACAGGCAAGCGCTGGGGATTACAAAGACAAGGAAACCTCACCCTTAGATACAGCCAGGCAGCTGCGCCCGGAGCGTACATACCTGTGCTCAAGCCGGAGGGCACGCTGGTCCCGCCAAAACCCACCTGTAGTTAAAGGAAGCACCGGCATTGCCTTTACCCAGTGACGTTATGATCAGAGGCAGTTTTGCAACCTGGAGCCAGGCACCCGCAGAAGGTGGGCTCCTGCCCCCAGGGGACCCACAGGCTGGGGCGCTGTCCTTCCCGGTGATGATATTTCAAAGGGACGCCTCCCGGGTCTTTGAGAAACAGTTTCCCAGATTGTCAAACCGGCTGGAGACTGGTTTAGCTTTCAAAATACTCCCATGCGTCTCAAAGGGGTAGAATAACGATTTACAATTCCGCGGAAGGTTCCTAAAGTAACGCTCTAAGGACGGGGAGGGAGGTGAACTCTGTTTTCCGCTTTTGCAGCCGGGAGAAGTCATTCATTTTTTCTTATTTTTTATCTTTATTCACCCTGACGGCGTCGCCCTATTAACTTGCAGTGGGGGGTGGTTTCTTCTAATGAGCAGGTCACCTCATTCCCCATCATAGGCTGGCTGCCTCACGCTGGGGCCGGGTGAGCCTGGGCAGAGAGCAGAGAGAGGTTTTAAGAACTATTTATCTTAAACTTGTTTTACCGAGACTGCCATACACATGTAATCTATATATAAAAGCCTAAGCAACTGTTAGGACCAGATGACCAGCCGGTAGTTATGATGCGCACTGACCACCAAAGGGCAGATGCTCAACACAGGAGCTGCCCCCTGGTGGTCAGTGCGCTCCCACAGCCAACCTCCTGCAGCTGGCCAACCTCCTGTGGTCCCTCCCCTCCGCTGGCTGGCTCCGATTGGTCCCAATCGCAGGCCAGGCCGAGGGACCCCACCTGTGCACAATTTTGTGCACCAGGCCTCTAGTCTATAATAATAAAAGCATAATATGCTAATTAGACCGGACAGCCTAATGACCTTCTGAACATCATTTCAGACATCCTTCTGGACGAACCCACGGCAGCGGGGGGCTGAGGCAGAGGCGGTTAGGGGCGATCATACTTATGGGAATTCCAAACTTCTGCTTCCAAGACCATGCCTCCCCACAGGAGGACCAATCACCAGCGAGGTGGGAGGGTCCTTGTGATTGACAGCCTCCGAGACTGACCGGTTTTCCCAGAACCCTCCTGCCTTCACTGGCTACAAGACGGGGCTTTTTACTCTGCCCCAGAAAAACGAAGGGAAGAAAACAAAGGAACGCACAACACAAGCCCTAATGTGTTATTCTGGTAAAATACGGATCAGATAAAACTGACTCTTCTAGCCAGGCTGCCGTTGACCTATGACCAGGAGGTCACGCTTGGATTCCCGGCCAGAGCATATGCCTGGCTTGTGGGCTCCATCCCCAATCAGGGGCGAGCAGGAGGCAGCCGATCGATGATTCTCATCATTGATGTTTCTCTCTCTCCCTCTCCTTTCCTCTTTGAAATCAATAAAAATATATTTAAAAAAATGTTTACTATTTAACCATTTTAACACTTCAGCAGTACTTAGTACAGTCACTTCTAGTTCCAAAACATTTTCATTATTCTGGAAAGAAAAACCCCTACCCGTCGAGCAGTTACTCCCCAATCTCCTCCCCCTGCTCCCCGTCTTCGCCCGCGCTCCCCCGCCACCCCCCTTCGCCCCTGGCAATCGCTAACTGCTTCCTGTCCCTACGGGTTTGCCTGTTCCGGGCAGTTCTTACAAATCGAGTCACAAGGTGGAATTCTGGGTGTGGTGTTTCGGAGTCCCCCCATCTGGAGCATTCCCTCGGCATGTGTGGACACACCGCGTGTGTTTAGCCTCGAATGGACGTTTGGCTGTTGTGAATCGTGCTGCTATGAACATTCCCACACAAGGTTTAGCTTGAAAGCCCTACTTTCTTTCACCAGATAAAGCCATTCTACCAAAACGCATTTACTCTAAATGCTGGCTGTCGCCTTACGCCGAAGCCAACTCATGGACCAGCAGCAAACAGACCCTGATTCCAGCCCTGGAGCTGGTCTGTGAGGCAGCTTTGGGTGTGACTAACAGAAGCCCCATTTTTGCTTTTTCACAAGAGGAAGTTTGTAATAAGCCTTGACTCGAAGCCCTCCCGTGTTCCTGCCCTCGGGTATTCACGCTCTGGGGGACCCAGCGGCTCTCGGTGGGGTCGGGGGGAGACTGGGCTCGGGATTCAGGATGAGCTGGGGGAGGAGGAGCCAGGAGGATGGACCAGGATGTGGTTTTTGTCCAGCGGCCGGCGTGGCTTGTGTAAATAAATTAATGGGCAGCCATAGGACGAGACACTAATTAATTGTGTGTGTTTTTATAAAGAAAAGGATGAGGAAGCTCTCTGTGTGCTGACCGGGCAGGCTCCCCAAGGAATCTTAAGGAAGCAGGCGGGGCAGCGCGTACTGAACGCGCTCCATTTGGACTAAGGGCAGTGAGACCCTGTATCTGTGTCATACCGTGGCCACCCTGGCGGCGGGCGGGGACACTTCACTCACAAGCCCTTGTGTGCTTTTTAATGGTCTCGCTGTTATTTCTTTTCCTTTCCTTTTTTTGAACTCTGTTTTTTATTTTGATTATTATTTTTAATATATTTTATTGATTTTTTACAGAGAGGAAGGGAGAGGGAGAGTTAGAAACATCGATGAGAGAGAAACATCGATCAGCCACCTCCTGCACACCCCCCACTGGGGATGTGCCCGCAACCCAGGTACATGCCCTTGGCCGGAATCGAACCTGGGACCCTTGAGTCCGCAGGCCGGCGCTCTATCCACTGAGCCACACCGGTTAGGGCTGTTATTTCTTCATAGGGAAAAATGACGGCATCCACTGGTCTCGGAAACGGATGCGCAGTCAGCGCAGAACGTTCACACATTAAACCCCTCTCAGCATGTAAAGTGTGCAGAGTGTGACATTCTCAGGATTCAGCTCAGACTCGGTGCAGCCTCGTTGCTTCACTCAACAAAGCCTCCTGGTCCTAATCAATTAAAATGCGCTTCATTCCCAATAGATCCATTCTGCCCGGCATGTCCTGCTGCGTGGCCTGTGCCCCGCGTGGCGCGTGGACATCCGGGAGCCGGTTTGGCTCTAGTGGTTAGATCCTTGCAGGCTCTCTGAGCAATGGTTGCTTGAAGCTTTATTTTATTTTATTAAAATATATTTTTATTGATTTCAGAGAGGAAAGGAGAGGGAGAGAGAGAAACATCAATGATGAGAGAATCATTGATTGGCTGCCTCCTGCATGCCCCCTACTGGGGATCCAGCCCACAACCCGATCATGTGCCCTGACTGGGAATTGAACTGTGACCTCCTGGTTCATAGGGTGACGCTCAACCACTGAGCCACACTGGCCGGGCAGCAAAGAGGTTTTTCGCAAAAAGGTTTCCACCTGAAGTCAGATAGGAGCAGCTGCTGCCCGAGCTGCGCTGACAGCCCCGTCCGTTTCCCCGGACAGCCACCAGGAGGGCCCGGGCCGCACGGAGGAGCCTGCTGGATGTGCCCTACGGAGCCGGCGAAGGGGAGACACTGGACGTCTACTTTCCCGAGGCGGCGTCCGAAGGTGAGCAGGGGCCGGGCGTCTCACGGAGCCCGTGGGAGCCCGGCCTCAGCCGCCATGCTTTGTCTTACAGCCCTGCCACTCTTCGTGTTCCTTCATGGAGGATACTGGCAGAGCGGAAGGTGGGTCTGCAGAGTGGGAGGAGCAGAGGCAAAGGGAGAGGCACCTTTAACAAAACCACAACAATAAAGGAGTAATATGCTAATTAGACCAGACGGAGCCAGGGCTGCGAGGGAAGCCCGGGTTCCGGGTGCCAGAGGGAAGCCGGTGCCGGCAGCCGGGGAAGGAAGGCCTACTCTTGCACGAATTTCATGCTTCGGGCCTTTAGTATATATACATAGACAGTCCCCGGGTTACGTCGGACTCAACGTACATCCTTTCGTGATTACGTCACTATCTCCCATCCTATCTAATAAAGAGGGAATATGCTAATTGGCCCTCATGCCGTCACAAAGGGCCTCTAGTTTATTTATTAAAAAAAAAAAAAGTTCCGTCATTTCAACGTATGCACATAGGTGCGCTTTATGTTTTTTTTATTATTTATTTGCCACAAGTAAAGGTCAGGAATTGTTATCTTTCTTTGAAATTTTTTTTCCTGTTTCCCTTCATTACTGCTGTGTCTGTGCTCCTCGTGAGTGACGTAGCTGGGTTCTGACTTATGGTGAAAATCGAGTTACGTCGGTAGGAACAGAGGCCCAGAGCCTGCCTCCTCCTGCCACACGGTTCAGAGGGGCAGGGGCAGTGGTGGCCGAGCTCCCCCGGGTCACTCTTGGTCTCTCTGCAGTAAAGACGAGTCGGCCTACATGGCAGACCCGCTGACCCTGCGGGGAGCGGCGGTGGTGGTAGTGGGTTACACCTTGGCCCCCAAAGGTAAGGCGGTGGCCCTGCAGGGGTGGGGCCGGGGGGCTTTGCGGGGAGCGGCGGTGGTGGTAGTGGGTTACACCTTGGCCCCCAAAGGTAAGGCGGTGGCCCTGCAGGGGTGGGGCCGGGGGGCTTTGCGGGGAGCGGCGGTGGTGGTAGTGGGTTACACCTTGGCCCCCAAAGGTAAGGCGGTGGCCCTGCAGGGGTGGGGCCGGGGGCTTTGCGGGGAGCGAGCCCCTCACAGCACCTGCCTGCGCGTCTCCCACAGGGACCCTGGACCAGATGGCGGACCAGGTGGCCCGCAGCCTTGCCTTCCTGCAGAAGCGGTTTCCGTGCAACGAGTGGGTGTCTTTTGGCTGATGATGCTGGGGGGCTGGGGGGGCTGAGGGGGCACTGGGTCCAGCCATTCAGCCCCTTCGTGCAGCCCAGCTGCCCTCTGGCCCGTGGAGCAGAGGACAAGCAGCGACACGGCCTCCGCTCTGGCCCTCCCAGGGGGATGTACCTGTGCGGACACTCGGCCGGGGCCCAGCTGGCCGCCATGATGCTCCTGGTGAACTGGACCGAGCGGGGAGTCACGCCCAACCTCAAAGGTTTCCGTGGGGCCTGCAGCCTCCCCTCCCCTCCCCTCCCCTCCCCCACAGGGCCTGAGCTGGGGCCTGCACTGGCTGTGACCCGGGGGCTTTGAGTGGTGAGCGGGGCCTGCTTGCTGCCTCCTGGTTTCCTATTCTGTCCCCTCCCCCTCTATCT